CTTCACAATCAAGCCCACAATTTCTAGAAGATAAACAGCACATTACACGTATACGTTTACATGCATTGAAACCCCTTTCACTTAATAATTCAAGTTTATTTTGTTTATTAAAATAATATTTGTAAATTGATTACATATCCCTCATAACAAAGGGTGCCAGTTCTTTCTTGCTTAAAATGTGCATTTTTTATCTTAATGATTCATTTAAATACTGTACATTTCTCTATGAAATAAGAGAAATAAATTTGATTGTGAACATGCTGCTTCGGCATCTGCTTGATTTACATACTCTTCCAAGTTCAAGTTATCTTTCTTCAATGCACCCTAAGTGTTAATACTCATTTTTTGGTGCAACATTATCACAATTAAAAGTTACTGGTGAATGAGCTTGGGCACTTCTTCTAACTCAAAAATCATTTCCTTGGTTTTTCAAACATTTAATTGCAAGCAATATTCATCACACTGTTTGCTAACACACTGATTGGTTTTCGATATGTTGACTCATCGTTATTTTCAATCATGCCTAAGATAACAGTATCATCAGCACATTTACTATTTTCTACAATTTTCATTGCTACTTGTCATACAGTCTGCATATAAAACGGAGAGAAATGCAGATAATACACCACCCGGGAGGGGGGGGGGGCAGAATTTATGGTTATATTGGGTGACAATTCATGTGCGGTTTTAACATACTGAATTCTACCTGTAAGAAAATCTAATATCCATAAACGATATGTTGCTGGTACATTATACTGACAAAATTGATCTATTATAACGGTTGCGGTGAAAGGTTGATCAACATTTATGCAAGGTTTGATAATGTAGATTCATTCAACGAACATGATAAAGCAGTTACCCATCTGAAGGCTTAAGTAGAGTTCAGGTCAGAATATTATTATTGTAACGTTCTGAGTAACATTGATATGTAGAAATCATGTACACCTGATAGGATTAGTGGTAAATTACGTAAATGGTTTTTCATTTATCATACGTAATTTGTTTCAATAGTCACTTTCCTTGTGTATATTACCTCGTCTATGGAAGACAAACTGCGCGCTCGTTTTCAAGGGCTTTGCGCTGCCTAGACGGAAGTAAGTTGAGTTCATTGATACCACTGCTGTTTTGTTTCTTTCACACACAGTGCACTTGAAATCATATGTCAACCGAGAAACCGCATACCTTGGCTGAATTTCTGCGTCCCAAGTGTGGCCACTTGATATCGTACAGCTGCTGAGCATACATTTGCCCGGATTTTAGTGCACATCAAAATGCTCACCTAATCTGGGCAAAGGTAAGCTAAGCACCTGTGTTATATACCATGGGCACATTTGGGACGAAGAAAACCAAAATATAAAGTTATTCAGTGCACGAATTATTTCACATATATCCGTGCGTACAAGAGACAAATTAGCAGACTAATCAACGAACACTACGGCAGTTCAGTTGTCTGTCCTGACTCCGCGTGGCATTTTAATGTAAAAGTACATAATTACACAGGTCGTGACAGTTGTGACCTCGTTTTTTGCTGGTTGTCGCCAGTTATGCAATGTTAGCCTATGCTTGCTTGTTTTCAGTTTCAAAATAAATTAAAAAAAAAACAGAAAAAAAAGACACACTCGATGACAAGAAATCGTTAAATGCAAAACGTTTTTTTTTTTATTTCGTTCTTACTACATGTAAATAAAGATGTCCGTTTCGAAAATAAAGTTTAAATGTTCAGGGTATTCCTCCTGTACGTCATCACAAGCGTGGGAGGCAAGTGTGACGCAAAATGACTCAAGTGGGAATCACTTTTACCGTGCGTTGCATTCTCTTTTTAGAGGTGAGTGCGCCACGTGCAAGTAAAAACAAGAAATAAGCGCGCCTTGCAATTAGAGCCCCTTCTTAAAAAGGACTTGCCACGTTGCCCCCGCGACTGGCAAAGCAGACTTGCGCCTTTCCATTGCAACCTTCCCTCTATCTCTACGCCCTCCACTGCACCCGAAATTCACAGGGGACGTAAGTACCTAAAACTGGCGCGTCTGCTCGTGACCGAGGCTTTACGCCGTTCAGTGGAAAACATCTGCCAAACGACATCGATTACAGAAAAATCTGTCAAGAGAAAATGATGACAACCAGGTGAATGATGATCAGGGAGATCTTGAACAGTTGATTGCAGAGCTTTTGACAAGTGAACCTGATATATGTACCCGGTATAAGTACTATCTGAGAGTGAATTATCTTCGTATAGCAACTGGCGTCAAAATAGCTCGATTTTGATAGCAACCAAAAGTTACAAAAAGATAGACGCGTAAATAAAAAAAAAATAAAAACGCATTAAGATCGAATTTAAAAACTTTTTAAAGGAAGAAGAAAAAAGTCTTACTTTATCTTTCCGTTTTAATTTTAGACACATTGGAGCTAGATCGAATGTTATACCTGGTGTCACTTTAAAATTTTAAAAGATTGACAGGTCATTAAAAATTACCTGTGGTATATTTGAGGATATATAAAGCGAAAAAGCTTACTTTCACCAGTGCATCGAAATTTGATAAGCAGCAAAAATTGTTATTAGCGCACTTCACTGAATGGATTCTACTATATTTCACTGCCCGCTTGTTAACCGAGGGTGCCACACAGGTCAATCCTATCAAACAACCTAGCGAAGAAGACTTCGGCACAATTGCACAAGATCCGATGTCACTGAGTTGTCATAATCGATGAACAAGAAAATCGATAGATAACAAGAACAAATTGAAGAATGACATTCAGGAAATATAAGACGTTTAAGTAAAAAAAAAATGGTTATACAAACCAGTTACCTTCACTTTAGTAATACATGTAAGTATACAATCTTCGATTCCTGAGATTCGTTTTCACACATCGTATCTGGAGTCGTTTTGGCAATCAAATGCAAACTGCAACCGAGAAAAAACGCCAATACGCCTTTGGAACGCTGTGAAGAACAAACGAGGTAGGATATTACACCATATTGAAATTGCATAACTAAATTGCCCCTGGCTTAGTGGGACCGATGTTAGATTGCTTAAGCCCCCTTCACACTGGTCGGCGTCCTTTCTGCGTCCCGTAGTACATGTTTATAATACTATTATTCTTAGTGTTATAAAATCCATTATTCAATTAGTTTTTTAATATTCTTGCCAGAATTTCCTCCTTTATTTTNGGCTTGCGTGTAATCTCCTTCTGTTATAACTCCTTGCTATCTGAGAGTGAATTATCTTCGTATAGCAACTGGCGTCAAAATAGCTCGATTTTGATAGCAACCAAAAGTTACAAAAAGATAGACGCGTAAATAAAAAAATAAAAACGCATTAAGATCGAATTTAAAAACTGTTTAAAGGAAGAAGAAAAAAGTCTTACGTTATCTTTCCGTTTTAATTTTAGACACATTGGAGCTAGATCGAATGTTATACCTGGTGTCACTTTAAAATTTTAAAAGATTGACAGGTCATTAAAAATTACCTGTGGTATATTTGAGGGTATGTAAAGCGAAAAAGCTTACTTTCACCGGTGCATCGACATTTGATAAGCAGCAAAAATAATTATTGGCGCACTTGACTGAATGGGTTCTACTATATTTCTATATTTCACTGCCCGCTTGTTAACCCAGGGTGCCACACAGGTCAATCCTATCAAACAACCTAGCGAAGAAGACTTCGGCACAATTGCACAAGATCCGATGTCACTGAGTTGTCATAATCGATGAACAAGAAAATCGATAGATAACAAGAACAAATTGAAGAATGACATTCAGGAAATATAAGACGTTTAAGTAAAAAAAAAAATGGTTATACAAACCAGTTACCTTCACTTTAGTAATACATGTAAGTATACAATCTTCGATTCCTGAGATTCGTTTTCACACATCGTATCTGGAGTCGTTTTGGCAATCAAATGCAAACTGCAACCGAGAAAAAACGCCAATACGCCTTTGGAACGCTGTGAAGAACAAACGAGGTAGGATATTACACCATATTGAAATTGCATAACTAAATTGCCCCTGGCTTAGTGGGACCGATGTTAGATTGCTTAAGCCCCCTTCACACTGGTCGGCGTCCTTACTGCGTCCCGTAGTACATGTTTATAATACTATTATTCTTAGTGTTATAAAATCCATTATTCAATTAGTTTTTTAATATTCTTGCCAGAATTTCCTCCTTAATCTTNCCTGGCTTAGTGGGACCGATGTTAGATTGCTTAAGCCCCCTTCACACTGGTCGGCGTCCTTTCTGCGTCCCGTAGTACATGTTTATAATACTATTATTCTTAGTGTTATAAAATCCATTATTCAATTAGTTTTTTAATATTCTTGCCAGAATTTCCTCCTTTATTTTATAAAAAGAAAAATATTGAGCCAATGATTATAATTTTAAAGCGGTTCTAGACTTCGACTTGCTTTCAAATGGAAGACAACCCTTTTTTTGACAGCTTTTGTTGCGACCCAGACTATATTTAATAACAATAGTGAAACAGACACGTATTTCTGATCCATCAACCAAGTGAAATGCTTGCTTAGTGAGATTGATATGGTCCCTCTGTACATTATCGTGACTTCGCCCAATTAATGTCATTGTCACAACTTCCGTTTACATTCAAAGGCTGCAGGTGTGTAAACGAAATTGTTCTTGTTTACCTGTCTTGTTCTTTCTTTCTTTCTTTCTTTCTTTCTTTCTTTACTTACTTAATTATTTATTTATATGTTTTTATTTATTACGAAATAAAGGAACTCTAAAGCAACTACCAAAAGTTGCGTTTGGTACATGTACAACTTTAATTGGGGAATGAGTGTAATATAAATGAACCGCTCACTTGTGCTGCGTCTATTACTGCGTCGATTACTTGATGCTGTCGCATTTCCGGGAAGATGCTCTTTCCTGTGATGTGTATCATGTACCAATTAGTAATCGTTAAATTCACATCTACAACGGCTATTCTTATCAATCCCTCGCTACCAGTGGTCTTAGCTTTCACTGACCAGTCATCGCAACGTGGACAGAAATCGTGAACATCTCATAATGGAAATGAAATTCAAATCAAGTCTTACCTGTATAGTCAATTTCATAGTTAACGAGGGCTTCGAGTCTGGTTGGAGCACTTTGAAAGAATTTGTCAGGTGCACGGTAAGAAATTTTTATTTCTTTTATTTTATTATTTATTTATTTATTTATTTATTTTTGTGGGGGGGGGGGTTTGTTTGATTCGTAAATAGCTGTTATTTATCAGGTGACTGGGCGATGAAGAGGTTCCATCCATGATTTATCTTACCAAAGCGAATTACGCCTAGAAAACAGTCATTTTCTCTTACTCGAGAATCATTGTTGGGCCTGATCCCGATCCTACTCAGTTTAGATTTAATTTATACATGCATGCATATATGGTTTTTATAGATAGTCCCTCCACTTAGCGTATGTGTATGTTTCACGCAAACACACGGCCTACGTGTTAGATTAAGTTTGAAGGTTTTGCGTCACTCTCATAGAGAATTGAAAATTAGACTCGTGAGAGTAATAATTAAAATTAAGTGGCGACACTGAATATCAGATTAATGCGAACGCGACAGAATCAAGCACAATATACAGGGATAATGGTATATAAAAAAGGCCAAAAAGTGCAATACTCATTTTATTTATTTATTTATTTGTCTTACTTTATTGTACAATCCTGCTCCTGATACTCACTTCCTCTTGTATTTTACAGAGCTCCATATTCAGTGTTTGTATAAGACTGTACCTGACATGAACAAATGGGGATGGCTCGTTGTGGTAGCTGCGCTCGTCTTGCGCTTGTGCATCCTTGCGGTTATTTCGTCGTATGGCGTTTTCTTAGAGTACTTCATCACTAAATTTCCGTCAACACCAGTTGCCTTCTTAGGTAAATGCTGTATGCATTTTGTTAGAGTGGTCTCTCTATCGTTTGCATACCCAGGACACCTACACGTACATTTGCATCTTTGTCCCCTCTCTCTCTCTCTAAAATATAAAGATTTAATTTAAAACTTAATTGGTTCTTGTAAACTTGTGTGAAAGGCTGTGACCTGACAATAATATACTGCAAGAATGAGAAACGTTAATCTATGAAAAATACACTAGAATATATATCACGTTACTTATGCAATTGCGTTTAAATGTTAGAATCAATAGGAGCGGTGTCCTACGGTATTGGTGCTATGGGAGCCCCGATATCTCTCGCCTTATACAGGAAGTACAAGACACGACGAGTGGTGATCGCTGGAGTATTTGCTGCCTCTCTTGGCTTTGCTTTGACGGGAACGGTGCAAAGCCCTGGCGCAATATTCGTCACCTACGGGATCCTCCTCGGCATTGGTGCACTTTTGACCAATAACACGTCGTTATTCCTGATTGCGCAGTACTTTAAACCGGAAAATAAATACTATGTGCTTGCCACAAGCCTGCCCGTCCCTTCCATAGCATTTGGTAAGTAGGTTTGTCATTTCCCATGTAATAATTATACGGGTAGGGCACAGATTTTAATATGCGGACACATCTACTTGGGCTGTTTTTATCTCAGTTTAATTTGGTCAGAAACACGAGGAAGAAAATGAAAAATGAACAGATCGAAAAAAAAAACACAAAGAGATAAAAACTTACAGAAGTATTTATTGAGATGTAATCGTACTAACTGCTACAGTGTAGCACTTCCCTTGCAACAGGTAGATAAGTTGTTGTCATAGTAACAAAACAGTAATGATTGCAATTACTGTTTACTTACAAGGAGAAATGAATACGCATTAAGGGAGATAACATGTATCTGCAGAAAGTACTCTTGAAGCCATCTTGCTCTATATTATCAAAACAGTGGTAGTTCCTCGGGAGGAGGTACATTTGGTCTCGTGCCAACTGCTAGCTCTATGGCTATAAATATCTCTATTTTTATCCCCCCCCCGCACCATCCATTCAAAAATAATAAAACAGTGTGATAAGCTAAAAAAGACAAATCCAAGTAGCCTAATCTCCCCATACATTTAAAAGTCCTTTTATGTTTATACTTGCCGTGAGATACGAAGATGCAAAGCCTCTTTATGTGCTCACCCCCACCCCCATCCCCCTGCAAATCTTACCTTTCAGTTACTCCTTGTTACACAGCGTTAACATATTTTTCTAGCACTTGAACGCTTAGTTCGAGGCATCGGAAGCCAAAATGCGTTTGCCCTGCTTGGAGTAAACGCTTTCATTTGTGGAACCCTCGCTGCGTTAGCAATGGAAGAAAACGAAAATGGAGATACCCCTCAAAACGAAAGTGTCAATGCCATGAAAGGTGGATACGACGGCGTGCCTGAACACGGAATTGGCGATTATCAAACAGGACAAAAGAACGAAGCGGACAACGAAAAACAGTTGACAGAAACGCACCTCGATCAGAAATGCAGTGCTACAGCCGAGTCAGGGGATTCCAAGCGGGACAGAGGCAGTGCCCCTTCTAAACCACTGGTTGTGGCTGTTTCTGTCACTATATTTCTTACCTTGTTTCTTCGAGGAGCAGTCATGCATTCTTTGCCCTTTGTTATGGTAAGTATTTAAATAGAGGTGCATGATATCCGCTTGTATAATTTAACACTGTTAGTTGGTATACATGTATGCGTTTTTGTATTTATAAATCCCGTTAATATTTGAATTTAGGTGGGTAAATGTGTGATTAATCTTGAAATTTTGATCTTGCTTTTGATTTTATTTATTTATGTGTTTTTAGAGAGAAACAAAATAAATTTTAGCATAACAATATTTTATGTTCACATTTATGTTTGTGCTATGTCCAAACTAGTGGACGCTAGCTCGTCTTCAGCGGTATCACATTCTTTGTCAGGATATCGGCTTTAAGGTAGTTCACCTTTTTTTTTTCAAAAAAAAAAAGATGTTTTCATTTTCAAAATGATGCTCAATTTTCGTCCCTATGTGTATTTCAGGTAAAGCATTTGGTCCAGGAGTTCAATACCACTCCATTTCTGGCCGCGTCCACAGTGACGTTCTTCAACTTGTCTGACTTGTGTGGGCGGCTGACCGTGGCTTTCATCGGAGACCGCTTCTTCAAGGGACATTTGGTAGAAATGTGTGCAGTGTGCGCTCTCCTGTTGGGCGCTGGCTGCCTCGCTGCAAGGTTTGCAGTGCAGTTTTATCAGATGTTGATGTTCAATATCGGTATGTTAACGAACGACCCCTGTGTTAATTATTTCGAAGGAGACGCTGACGATTACATGTGATCACACTAACACACACACACTAACACACACACACACACACACACACGCACACACACACTAACACACACACACATTTTATCCAAGACTTAGATATGTAGGAAACACAGCTTTAATGCATATTGATCTTCATAAAGCAATTCAGAAATTAATTATATTAAACAAACATGGTTGGTACTGGTTTATATTGTCTTGTCAACTGGTCTACGTACAATATACCTTACCAATCAAAAGAGAAGATTTGAAGTTCATTCTTTTTTTATTTATTACGTTTAATTTAATTCTATTTCATTTCATTATATTTTCTTTTTTCTTATTATATTATACA